AGAATTTCAATTTAAGGGAATTTCAACATCAGGGTATTTTTCTTTTCCTGGTGTGTGTCTATCTGCTACAAAATTAGCTAATTTTCTCGCTTCTTAATATCATCACCCTGAATGTGCCTGTTGTGAACAAGGAGAGCTGAAATTGAAAATTTAAGTTTAATTGCCTTAGCTCACCATCTTTGTTTAATTTTAAAAACTGACACCCATTCTAATACATTATAAGCCTTGCAGAATTGTTATAATTGTCCTACCTCAGGCACAAAATCTACTTGCCAGCCCTGTGACATGACTGACTGTAATGAAAAGAAGTTTACTTTAACATTTAAAAAAAATTACTTGCTCAAGGCATGTAGAATTTTGCAAGGCTGGGTGCAATTCTCTGAACTCCCATGTGGACAGAGTAATTAGGCAGTATGTACTCTGGTGAATTAAATCCATGCATTCATCTACAGAGTAGGCTTCAGTTCAGTCTCTATATGGCCCTCCTTGGCCAATAACTCCATGGAATAGCAGCACCTGCCACTAGGTGGATTAGCTCAGATCCAGTGGCCCTTCACTGTGCTGTTCCCCACCCCCCAGCATTCCTCAGTATACTAGCATATCCAAAGCGGTCATGGATTCTGCCAGTTTGGCATACAAAGAGCGTAGAGCCCCTGCTCAGCTGCTCCAACCACCTCCTCCCTTAAGGGGGTACCACAGGTGTTATATGGTGCACTTGGCTCTTCACCAATGGAGGGATTTCATGCATTATTCTCAACTAAGCTATCAGAGTGAATAATTGATTCAATGGACTGAGTTTATTTTTCTGCTCAGATTGTCTGCAAGTGATCTAATTTATCTGATGATCAAAATTATCATCCAAGTACTTTCTGTGAATTGTGTTTGGTCTGAAGGTTGTTCAAGACCAGTTCACTGTGATTATTTGCCTTTTGAAATTCAAGTTGGGTTGGTTAGTTTTGACAGGACACACAAGGTGCCTGGTATTGCTTCAGTTTCTTGGTTGGAATAGTGTAACTCTTCAAATCAGGTTTCCAATGTATCACATGTACAAGTTTAAGATTTGCCTTTTGCAGATCTTCTCTGATATCTGTTTACAGTTTGCTATTTCCACACAAATTCCTACCAGTGAACGTGCTTGCTTTGATTCCAGCAGATTTTTTTTCTGTACGAACATCTACTTTCCCTTAATAGGCCTCTTTGCAAATATTGTAAATTCCTCTCTTTCACATTTTAGCTCTTCTCATGATTTTCAGCTGCAGCTGTTTATAATTTCTAGTAGAGCTGTCAAGCGATTAAAAAAAATTTATCGCGCGATTAATCGCACTGTTAAACAATAATAGAATACCATTTATTTTAATAGTTTTGGACGTTTTCTACATTTTCAAATATATTGATTTCAATTACAACACAGAATACAAAGTGTACAGTGCTCACTTTATATTTATTTTTTATTACAAATATTTGCGCTGTAAAAACCAAAAGAAATAGTATTTTTCAATTCACCTAATGCAGGTATTGTAGTGCGATCTCTTTGTCATGAAAGTTGAACTTACAAATGTAGAATTATGTACAAAAAATAAATGCTTTCAAAAATAAAACAATGTAAAACTTTACAGCCTACAAGTCCACCCAGTTCTACTTCAGCCAATTGCTCAAACAAACAGGTTTGTTTACATTTACGGGAGATGCTGCTGCCTGCTTCTTATTTATAATATCACCTGAAATTGAGAACAAGCATTTGCATGGTACCTTTTTAGCTGGGTTTGCAAGGTATTTACGTGCCAGATATACTACACATTTGTATGCCCCTTCATGCTTCAACCACCATTCAAGAGAACGTGTGTCCATGCTGATGATGGGTTCTACTTCATAATGATCCAAAGCAGAACGGACCAACGCATGTTTATTTTCCATCATCTGAGTCAGATGACACCAGCAGAAGGTTGATTATTTATTTATTTATTTATTTATTTTTGGTGATTCAGGTTCTGTAGTTTCCACATCTGTGTGTTGCTCTTTTAAGACTTCTGAAAGCATGCTCCACACCTCGTCCCTTTCAGATTTTGGACGGTACTTCAGGTTCTTAAACTCGGGGTAGAGTGCTGTAGCTCTTTTTAGAAATCTCACACATGTACCCTCTTTGCATGTTGTCAAATCTGCTGTGAAAATGTGCTTAAAATGAACATGTGCTGGGTCATCATCCGAGACTGCTATCACATGAAATATATGGCAGAATGTGGGTAAAACAGAACAGGAGACCTACAATTCTCCCCCAAAGCGTTCAGTTACAAATTTAATTAATGCGTTGTTTTTTTTTTTTGTTTGTTTTTTTTTGATGACCATCATCAGCATGGAAGCATGTCCTCTGGAATGTTGGCCGAAGCATGAAGGGGCATACGAATGTTTAGTATATCTGACACATAAATACCTCTTGCAACGCCTGCTACAAAAGTGCCATGCGAACGACTGTTCTCAATTTCAGGTGACATTGTAAATAAGATACGGCAGTAGTATCTCCCGTAAATGTAAACAAACTTACTTGTCTGAGCGATTGGCTGCACAAGAAGTAGAACTGAGTGGACTTGTAGACTGTAAAGTTTTACATTGTTTTGTTTTTGAGTGCAGTTCTGTAACAAAAAAAATCTACATTTGCAAAAAGTTACACTTTCACAATAAAGAGATTGATTGAAAAATACTGTTTCTTTTGTTTATCATTTTTACAGTGCAAATATTTGTAATAAAAGATAATATAAAGTGAGTACTGTACACTTTGTATTCTGTTGTAATTGAAATCAATATATTTGAAAATGTAGAAAAACATCTAAAGTATTTAATAAATTTCAATTGATGTTCTATTGTTTAACAGTGCGATTAATCACAATTAATTTTTTTAATTCTGATTAAATTTTTTGTGTTAATCGTGTGAGTTAACTGCGATTAATCGACAGCCTTAATTTCTAGGAGTGGTGTTACTTAGCAGTTAATGGTTTTGCAAAAATCTTAGCTTTTCTCCTAGGCAGCAAGGGACTTCTGGCTGTTGATAGCAGGTGGGGAATAGGGTTGAAAGATGTATGGTAAGATTCAAAAGGAGGGGAGGCAAGGGTCTGACAAGGGTAGAGCCACCTGGGGGATAGAATTTCAGTTCTGCAAACAAAACTTTAAGTTTTTGCACTTTTTTTTTTTTGTTCCAAATTGGGATGAAAGGCCAAAAACTCAAATTTTTCACAGAACTGAAATTCTGAAGGATTCCATTTTGGAAACATTGAAATGTTCCTGCAGTGCAAATGTGTTTTGATGTAGCAGTCTACCAGGTATGCTGCTGGGGAGCCCAGAAGTCCAGGGGGCTGGGCAAGAAAGCTAACAGCAAAGCAGATGGCTGGCTGGCTAGCCTAGTTTCCATCAAAGCTTTTGAGGGCAATTGACACACTTCTGCAGAATGTTTCAGTTTTTTCACATCAGCATTTTCAAATGGAAAACTGTCTGTCAGGAAAAATTGTGACCAGCTCCAGACTAGAGGCCAGGAGGGGAAGAGTAAGGTGAAGCCAAGCACCAGAACTGGGTGAGTCAAGGAGGGCATAGGTACCAACTCTGTTGGAGCTTCGGGGCTCAAGCACCCACCACAGGGCCAGATTAATCTTTTGTGGGTCCTGGACTGTGGCCCGATTTCCCCCCTCTCCTCCCCCCCCGCTCTGCCTGCACTCTGTCCAAGGCTCTGCCCCTGCTTGGCCTCTTCTCCCCTCCCCCGCCCCCCGCCGAGGCCGTACCTGCTGCTCGCACCCCCTGTCAAAAACAAAAGTCCATGCCTGTGAAGGAGGGTTCAAGATCTGGAGGGGGTGGGCCTAAAGGAAGGCATCAAGGATTAGAAGTGGCTGGTACAGGGTCTTTGAAGGGGAGGAGTAAAGGGAGGGGTGTTGGGAGCAGGAAGGGGTAGTTTTCTGATGGGGGGGTTGGTCGGGGAGGCAGAGGAAACGGTGGAGGAAAAAGAGGATGGGGGAAAAAGGCACAAAACTGAAAATTGTCATCTTTTCTCTGAGAAAAACACAGAATTTTAAAACACAATTCTGTGGAAATTTGTTTTTGAAACAAGACCATTTTTGTCCAGAAAAGTGTAAAATGAAAATTTTGACCCATTCTAGTTATCAATGTTATGTTAAATACAAAATGACTGTTAGTGCACACAGTATAGGTTAGAGCAGTGGTTCTCACACTTTTGTACTGGTGATCCCTTTCACCCAGCAAGCCTCTGAATGCGACCTCCCCCTATAAATTTAAAACACTTTTTTTTTTATATTTAACACCCTTATAAATGCTGGAGGCGAAGCAGGATTTCGGGGGTGGAGGCTGACAGCTTGCAACTCCCCCACATAATAACCTTGTGACCCTCTGAGGGGTCATGACCCCCAGTTTGAGGAGCTCTGGGTTAGAATAAAACCGAGGATCTGAAAAAGGACTACTCGGGAAACCTGTTCAGTACAATTTATTCTATCAAAACTGAGGGCGAAGGGCTTGTGGCTAACGTACACAGCTTGGCGTTAGAAGCGCTGGGTTCCATTTCCACATCTTCCATAACCTTCCTGTGTGATCTTGAGCAAATCAGTTAGACTCTCAGTGCCTTAATTTCCCTATTTATACACAGGGCTAATAAAACTTCCCTATCTCTCAGGAGTGCTGTGAAGCTTAACCACCTTACATATACTAATGACTTTAGTTCCTCAGAGACAAAAGCTCTGGATAAATGCTAAGTACTATAATAAACGGTTTGTTGATTGTCTCACAAAACTTGTGCCCCAACCTATTTTATGGCTTTTAAGAATTTGAAATATTAATATTTGTACTGGCTTTGTTCCTTCTTTCAGTGTGCAAACTTGCAAGAAACAATTTGGGCAGTGGTTTCTTTAATCTGTTTTCTGAACTACATTGACTTATTTCCACATGTTCCTAGCAGGCTGGTGTTAGGACCCAGAAAGGAGACAGCAGCAACATGATATAAATAGAGTACGAGAATGGGACAAAGTTTGAGAAGAAAGCATGACATCACTCAGACTTTCTCTCCACCCAAAGAGATCTTGGATGAAGGTGCAAACGTGAGTCAGACAAGCAAGAAGTTCGCAACTCATTTCAATCCAGTTCCTATCCAGGAAATAGTGGGAGTTTGCCTTATGTACAATAAAGAGGTATTTTTTTAATTGAAGAACCAAAACTGACTTCGGATCTTTCACAAAGTGAAAACAGTTGAAAGTAAAAGACAACGATAGAAAGCAAAAGTTGAAAAATAAGATCTCTCTTTTTTGGCACCAACTGCAGCAGAATTGTATGCATTTTTTCTGTGGAACTGTACATTTTTGCAACTAATAGATTTCATCTTATAATTTTGCTCCAATCATAGTAATACATTTATGAATAACAAAAGGAATCCAAGTTTGAAGGAGGCAAATATTTCTGAAGGATCTGGAAGCATATTTTGCTGTCACTGAAGGAATGGACATCTTGAACCTGTGTGGAAAATGCCTCTTTTAAAAGAAAACAAAGTGGCAAAGGAAAATTTGTGTTTGTGATTGAAATCTCAAAGGAATTTGGTCTCAGTTGCACTTTTAACCTCGAAAAGACCATGAACAATTTGTTGTCTCTGCTCTGTCATTATTCCTTGCTGATTCTATTTCAGTCTAAATATCAGGTAATATTCTGAACATGATTAACATTAAGATTTATTTGGATTTCCTTTTAGTGATATGTTCACTTCACAATGTCTTGTTTTATGTGCAGGTGTATGGAAACAATTCACGACTATCCAAACACCCAGGTAAGAAATTTTTTGTTTTATCATTATTATTACTGTACGACCATCTTGTGCTTAATTGTTACAGTATGTTTACTAAAACTTTTGCTTTCTGATATGCACATCTCATTTTCTTACATGCATGAATAAGTACCGTGCTAAAATATAATGTAGGGCAATCAGTCTAGAATACTAGACTACCGTAATCTATTACAATTGCAGTTCTCACTACACTGACATTCTGCATAAACAAGTACAAAAGGAAATGCTGCTTGCATTTACACACACTAGTTTACAAACCATTGTGTTTTGAGACTCTGTTTACAACTTTTTGTTTTAACCTTGAGCTGCTCTTGGAATCGGCGCTGTGGTAGCATGCAGCACTTCAAATTCACTGACTTCTACCGCTAGAGATGCCAGTTTGTAAACTTTATGGTGCATTTGCATAGCTTCAGTCTTTCTTTCTTTCTTTTTATTTACAATTAAGTGTAATTTGCTCAGGACTGAACGTAAGCATGTTTTTCTTCTGAGCTCCAGTCATCTGTTTTCAATGCAAAAATCACTCTGACTAATTTTGTGTGTCTGTAACTGGAAAGATCTTCCATTCACACACACACACAGTTTAACCTCATGGTGGTGTACAAGTACAACCTTACTCTTTAACCAATCCACAGACTGCCTTGTGCTTTTAATTCCTACCCGTACGTATGTACGTATGTACTTACAAAATTAAAATCCTGCTTCTAGCAAGAAAAGCTCTATGGTGCTATTGCAATATGTCTGTCCCACCCCCGCCTTGTTATCTCAGTCCTAATTACAGTATGCCTAAACTATTGCCCTTGCTCATGTGAGTTTCTTTTGTTTCTCCTTCGTCTAGCAAATGTTAATTCATGGCCTCAATTCCTATAGATAAGGCTGGTCAACCTTTAGCTGGTGAAGCAATATAAGAAACCTAGGTTTTAGCTCAACTTTATATATTGGGCAACCCGGTTATAGAACAGTTACAATTTTGTAGTTTGGAAACCTAGTATGGGGATGTAGCATCACCCGGATCCCTAAATCATACTATGGATTTGAACTATGTTGTAATTTGGTCTTCTGGCTTGGTTCTATGGATAGCATAGACAGATCCTTAATGGTGGTTACAAAACAAAAGGGATATCCAGGGAGCAGGTATAGTAGTGGTTTTCAAACTGTTAGAGCCCCCTCAGGATGGATTGGTCATCAGCTGGAGTGGCAGTGTGGCTTAATGCATAAGATGCTGGACTGGGAATCGGAAAGATCTGCATTCTAGTCCTGGCTCTGCCACTGGTCTGTTGTCTGATGCTAGGTAGGTCAGTTCCCCCTCTGTGTTTGTTTTCCCTCCCTAGGTTTGTCTGTTAGGACGGTAGGTTTTTGAGGTAGGGACTCTCCCGATGCGTTTGTAGAATGTTTTGCAAAATGGGGCTCTGATCTCAGTTGGGGCCTCTAGGTGCTAGTGTAATACAGCTAACGATAATGAAGTGCCGTGTTGTGTCGCGGTTAGTTATTCCTATCTGTTCATTTTCTCTTTGGCTTTTTTGATTTTCTTTGGTAGCTCTGAATCCCTTTTCTCATTCCTCACTCATTTGAAAATTAAATTTTATTGGGAGTGGTAGATATCTGCGCAAAGGAGCATCGCAAACCAGTATGCACGCTCTATGCTTTGCCCGGTTTGCTGTCAAAAAGAGTTGGAGCTGCTAGACTTCATGGGAAGCAGATAGAAAAATTGGGTCAGCATCATCTGCCCATGTAGAGTCTCCTGGTGCCCTGGAAAGCTGCTGCCCTCATTTCCTCTGGAGGGTGCCGGTGTATGCTCTTGGAAGACAGAACTAGGGCACATGCCAAAGCTTCAGGGACCCAAAGGAAAATAAGCCCCCTCCTAATCCTATACCTCATTCCCTTGGGATCCTTTTCACACCTAAACTCCCAGGAGGAGCAGGGGCTTTGGATGGTTGTTCAGGAAATTAGTTCAGATTACAAGAGTGCGTGTGTCTCTTGTGGTTTATCTTTCTGTCTCCCAGCTAGGTCATAGGTTTTGCAAGTATGCAAAGTAATATGTGTGGCACCATTTCGCCTCATCCACACCTGTATCACTGTGTACCAATGACATGCTTTCTCAGGCTGTAGTTTCTTTGAGAGAGGTTCTCTGACCACTGCAAATGTTTCTAGGCAAGGAGGGCAGATGGGGATTCTAGTTTCTTGTATAATCAGTGGTGTTAGATGGATGGTTAAACAGGATAATACTTGGGCTGGCAGGTTAGGTGTGAAGCAGGGCTGCAGCAAATGAAGCTGCCTTAGTTACACAGGCCTAAATTTACCACTTCTGATTGTTGCACAACCCTCCCCTGCCTCTGCTGTGGTGTTTAGTAATCACATCAGCACGATTCCCTAATCCAAAAGAACCCTACAGTCTTCAACCATTACAGCTCTGAAATTGTGTCAAGGGGACAGAGAAGAGAGCAAAATCTAAAGCAAGACATTCTTTGTGCTGGCTACGGTTTCACGGAAGGGGTGGACAAAACCCTTCAAGTCTACAATGAAAATGAAAAAAAATCCCTGTGTGTCCAAAACCTGGGTCCATATGATGACAGAACCCCTGTAACACTGTCAAGGTGAATGGAGCTTTGGGGATGAGCTGCAAGTGGCAGGGAAAATCTGCTTGTGGTTTGTTTTTAACTTACACACCCAAGTTTTATAAGGTCTTTGGAATGTTTGGCTAGCATACGTACTGTATGTTCATTTGGGCAAGTTCTGCACCCCTGTTACTATGCTCACTCTGTTTTCAACTTGCCTTTCTGTTTCCCACCCCCTGTCCTTCCTTAGGTCCCTGAGAGATTGCTAGGGAACCTAAAGAAATTCTAGACGAGTGAGAGTTATTTATATGAGAGGGCCACACTAAATCATTCTGATACCCTTTTTTGGGATCAGTAGTAGTACTTTACTACTTGGGTAATCCCACTGAAGCCACTTCTTACCTTTTGTGAGCTTCTCCTTATGTGAGCAGTCCTACTGGCTTACATGGGACTACTCTTGTTAATAAGAGTTTGCAGGACCAAGTCTTCAACTGGGCCTCCAAAGTGCAGTCCAAACATAATAGCAAATATGCATCGCAATAATATATGTTAGTGTGTGTGTGTGTACACATGTGAAAGGTAGGGAGGTAGGTTTTCTTGTAGTTGGCTTGTTTTGTTTTTCCTCTCTTTTACTCCTCTCTGCTGCTTTTTTGGCGGGGAAGAAATGAGGCAAGATGCTAACATGGAAAGGTTTAGCAGAAGTACTAGGTTTTGTGCAGGGAGCTGAAGAACGATAGGGCTATCATTTGGCAAGCAAGACCAGTGAGGGGGTTCTAGGCATGGAAGAAGATATAGTGACATGCATGGGACAAAGAGCAGTTGGGTAGGGGGTGTGAGTACATTCTAGGCATTTAGCCATTGAAGGTGACTGGAAGACAACAGTTTGTCTTGTAGCTGGTTTTGAAATTTGTTTTTGTTCTGCATTGGAAGGAAAGACTTTTGTGTGTTTTGCTCTATAGTTGGGTGGTTAGGGCACTGGCTTACGCTGTGGGACTTCTAGGTTCAAGTCCTGCCTTCCCTGAACCAGGCTAGTGTTTTTCATCCCAGATCACTCCGATACCAGCAGAGTAGGGACTCAAACCTCGATCGCTTGCGTCCCAGCTAACCAGCCAGCTATAGTCTCTCTCTCCCCCGCCTCCCCCTTCGCCACAACAGTTTATTGGAAACTGATAAGTCCCTGCAAAATGTTTCATCTTCAATGAAAGAGCATATGTTGTTGAAATTTCATTTTGGCAAAAATGTTCCAACCAGCTCTACTATTCCTGGTGTATCTGTTTTGTGGTTTAATAGAAGACTTGGCTCTCTGGTACTTCCAAACTAGCACAAAATTCAATTGAAAACACAACTGAAAAAATAGTAAAAAAAAATGTAACCTCTGTAAATGCTGGATTTGTAGATGTCTTCCCCCACCCCACCCCACAAAAAAAGCATAAACAGATTAATTTATGCCAATAGAATTATTTGCCACCATGATGGACAAAAGAACCAACGCTCATTTGCAATAGCAAGAGGGTTTTACTGTATGACTGTTTCATTCTCCTACAACTTTCATTGCTCTGGTTGATTACACATTCTTTTCCAGCACAGCTTGCTAAATTAGTTATTCTAGGAATAAAAAAGTTTCTTACAAATAATAATATAACATAAAATACAATCTGTATTTGCCTTTATTATTAATGTTCGACCCTTAAAATAGAGCATTACCTTAACACGCCATTTAATTGCTCTGGCCAATCTGTTTCTGCTCCAGCTTGAGAATTCACATCTCCCTAAAGTGTTCTCTAGTTGACATCAATTAGATTCTCTAGATAAATCTGCCATTGGAAAATGGGAACCATCAGATGTTCTTCTTTTGTCAGCTTGTCCACCTGGAGCTCAGTGTAACCATCTGCAACTGAAGAAGACGTTTAGGGAAACAAAATGTTCCTGTTAGCCATAAGATTTATTTTTCACTTTTTGGGGAAAAGAAGGTTCTGAAGAAATAGCAGCTGCTGCATGCAGAGCAGTTAACTATTTTCCAATGCCACTAAATATTCTGGGACCCAGTCAGGAAACTCCTTCCAGTGAAGAGTGTAGTTCTGACATCTTAACCTATGCACCCTCCCAAAATCCCCATGGCGTATCCCTTGCCTGTGTTTCTGCTGCTGGTTTCCACCTCCCTGGCTTGCCCCAAAACCTGGACAACATGGCCCCTGCAGAATCCATGCTTCCAGCAGTCAATTTACTGGGGTTGCTCAACACCCATCAGTAGAGGAAGGTCTTCACAGGCTAGAAGTGAAAACCAAACAGATCAGTATAGCCTCAAGGTGTGTTAACTTGTGCTGCCTTCCCCTGTGGGTTTTGGGGAGAGGGGGAAGAGTCTTAAGGCACTCAGCTGCCTCTTCCATGCGCCCCTTGAATTCTGCAGAGCTGGAACACATGTGGAGAGGCTCCCACAGGTGTAAGAAAAGGAGAAAGGGTGCTGTAGAAAGGAAACTGCCATTCTGCACATTGCCCTGTATGACATTTGGGGCCCTCTCTGGATATTGTCCTTAAAATGATCTAAACATTGTGGCTTAAGCTTTATGGGTATGTGTGGGGGTGCATGAAATATAGAAATGTATTTGTTAAATTAAAATATTAGGATCAAATCCTCAGCTGGTATAAGTCAGAATGTGACTTCAGTACAGCCATGCTGATTTCCACCAGCTGAGGGTCAGGTCTTCTATCATTATGCAACATAGAATCAGAAATCTAGGACTGGACAGGTAATGAGGAAGTAGTCTAATCCAGGACCCTATGCTGAAGCAGGAGCAAGTAAACCTAGACCATCCGGGCTGGTGTCCATCTAACCTGTTCTTAAAAACTTCCAATGATGGGGATTCCATAACCTCCCTTGGAAACCTATTCCAGAGCTTAACTATCCTTATATTTAGAAAGTTTTTCCCTAATATCTAACCTAAATCTCCCTTGCTACTGATTTAGCCCATTACTTTGCGTCCTACCGTCAGTGAACATGGAGAACAACTAATCACTGTCCTCTTTATAACAGCACTTAATATATTTGAAGCCTTATCAGGTCCCCCATCAGTCTTCTTTTTCTCAAGACTAAACAAGCCCAGTTTTTTTTTTTTTAACTTTTGCTTCCTCATAGGTCAGGTTTTCTAAACTTCTTATCATTTTTTGTTGCTCTCATCTGGACTCTCTCTCCTGTTTGTCTACAAATTTTTCTGAAAGTGTGGTGCCCAGAACTGGAGATAGTACTCCAGCTAAGGCCTTATCCGTGCAAACCATCTTCTGAGTCTGATATACAACACCCTGTTAGGCTAATATCATTCTGAGTTGTATTTTTTTGCAACTGCATCATATTGTTGGCTCATGTTCAACTTGTGATTCACTGTACCCTCAGGTCCTTTTCAGTAACCGATTACTGACTAGTCAGTTATTCTCCATTTTGTAGTTAGGAAGGGGGGAAAATCAAATGCCCAAGTCTAGTACTTTGCACTTGTCTTTATTGAATGTCATCTTTTTAATTTCAGACCAATCCTCCTATTTGTAAAGATTGTTTTAAATTCTAACCCTGTCCTTCAAATGCTGGCAAATCCTCCCAGCTTGGTGTCATCCACAGATTTTATGAACATAATATCTTCTCCCTTATCCAAATCATTAAGCAAAATATTAATAGTCATAGACCCAGCACAGATCTTTATGGGACCCCACTATCCCCCCAATTTGACAGCGGACTGTTGATATGGTCTTTCAACCAGTTTTGCACCCACCTTATAGTAATTTCATCTAGACCACAGTTCCCTGATCTGCTTATGAGAATGTCATGCCAGACTATGTCAAAAGTCTTACTAAAATCAAGATAGACAATGTCCACAAGTTCCTCTCTAGCCACTAGGCCACAACCTGTTTCTACTGCAGCGAAGGTAGAGTAAGTACACAGCTTTTAAAAACGGGTCCCCCGCAATGTGCGATCAGAAATCTTGTTGCATAACACATGGCTTTAATCCCCATTGCTATTTATTTATTTTGCTCTATTTCAAATGCTCGCTCCTTGTATGCAGTGCATAGTTTACATAAAATGTTTTATTTTGCCTAACCATTTGATCCCCCTCTCTTTTTCTGGTTTCTACATTGAAGCATCTGTGGAGACTTGTTACACTTGACCTCGAATCCTGCGTTTCTGACCTTTTAAAATTTGTGTTTCCTTGAAAGGGTTTGAAGTTTTACAGACAGCGTCCCACTACTGGCCCCTGGAAGATATGGACGGAATCCATGAGTTTCGGGATACAAATGGAGGTAGAAGCAGGACTCGTGACAATGACAGTAACATAAGTATTTGTGAGAGTCAGTAAGTAGCAAGGGAGCTGGAGATATGAAAGCTAAATAGATTAGAGCTAAAGCCATGGCAGCTGAGATCTAATTATTCATCAAACGTTTTGACAGTCCAAATGATTTTGCATTTCAAAGCTGTAATTTTTTTTTTCAAAGTATTCTCAGACATTTTATGAGCATCCTACACATTCTTACGGTTATGAAGAGAAATTGTTGTGTGTTCCAAAGTGTCATTAAAATCCTATTATTGTTAGTTGCTTTGGTGTATACTTGCCCATGCACAAATACACAGAGTGGGTGGGATTTTCACTAGTCCCAAAGGAGTTCGGTGTCATATTGATTTACAATGGAAGTTGAATGCTTAACTCCTGTAGGCCCTGGGCTAGATTCACAAAGGGACTTAGGTGTTGCGAAAACTAACCTGAAATGCAGCTCTTAATAATTAATAATAATTAATAAGAGCAAGAAATACACAGTTGAGGCTAGGAAGTGCTCTTTTTCAAAAGGAGTGATAACTGCTGAAATTCAGAAGCCATTTCAAGCATATTCAAATAGTTCAATTTATAGGGCCTGATCCTAGAAACGTTCACTCATGGTGAAAAGCACTTGCTCACATGAACGCTTCTATTGCAATCAGTGGGATGACCTGTATGAATAAGGATTACTCGTGTCAGTGAAGGTTTCCAGGATTGGACCACAGTGTGTTTTCTGGAAGGGTGCCAAAAACATCAAAAAATGTTTGTTCTTTTGTGTGATTTTTTTTTCTGATGTTGAATTCTTTCCTTAATGTTGTTGTAGATAATCCCTTTTCTTAGTTTGCAGTTGCTTATATTCTATCCTCCAATACATGCATATAATTCCCATTGGCTTCAATGGGAGTTGCATGCCTGCATCTGAAGGCTGATTCTGAGACACAAGAAAGGGTTTCTTTATTGCTGTATTCTACTGCAGGTTACCATTTTCCTGCTTTTTGATACCACTCTATGATTATGCAACTCTTTTATTCATTGCTAGAGTCTCTCATATTATTTTTTCCACTTGTAATTTCATGCAATTGTTTTCATCCCATGTTTCTTCTCATAAAACCTTGGAGCATCATAATCTTGTCCTTCATGTTAATCCATTTTATTTGTTGAAGTCATTGTGTGGCTGGAATCCAGTTTCATACCTCTCAACGGCTCACTGTTTTGGGAGTCAGTATCACCAAATTAGGTTATTTTTGTGCACTTTCCATACTGACTGGCTGTTATCTCGGGTCTATAGTGGTAATAGCCTAATGGCAGAACTGACTGAGGAAATTAAAGGGACATCCACTGATTTGGAATCTAGTGAATTAAAAAAAATCTAAAGGGTTTAAAGGTATTTTCAGGTGCTGCATCTGAACCTTTGTCCCTCTGCTAACTTTTTTCCTGCAGTTTTACATTGATATTTTTCTATTTTAAAATAAATTTTTTTCTCTTCTTTTGCTATATGAAATACTCCACTGATTTTGGGACTGATTCAAAGTCAACAAATGTCTTTCAATTGACTTCAATGGGCTTTGAATCAAGTCTTAACTGTCCGTGCAGGACAAACAGTGAAAATGACTGCATGCAAAATGCTGTCAAAAGTACAAAATAAGCAAATCAAAACAATAGAAATATGTTTTTCTCTAATAACTTTTATAATTTAGGACTCTTAAAATTATATAGGTAAAATATCTGCAGACCAAAATATGATTTTTTTTGATGCTGTCGTTTTGAAGTTACTGATAATGTCATCTGCATGTCAGTTTCCCTTAGGCTTGGTCTACATACAGATTTTGAACCAGAATAACTATGTTGGTTTCAGGAGATGATTATTATTATTATTTTTTTTTAAAAACTGATATATTTATACCAATACATCCCCTAGTGTGGATGCAGTTATAGTTTATTTCCCTTCCCCAAAGGAATAGCTACACTGGTGTAAAACATACAACTGTGTCTACGTTGCGGGCAGTTGTACCACTTTAACTATACTATCGTTAAAGTGGAACACCCTTTATGTGCAGACAAGCCCTTTGAGGGGAAAAAAAGATGGAGGATGTTATAGAATGCTAGAATGTTATAGTTTAAAGGGCCACTGAGTAACATTTGATCTATGCTGTGTTGAGAGATATGGACTGGACAATTCATATTGATTTTGTGTTTGTTCATTGTTTTGCTTATTTTCTTTTGTTGTTCCACCCAGCTTTAAGAATCCACAACTTCACTGTGCTTCCTTCCCATAATTCTACCTTTGTATATACCAATGACTCTGCCTACTCTAACTTCTCTGCAACCGTAGGTGAGGATTCAAGTATTTTTTTTCTGCATTTGTCAAACTTGGACTAGTCTGATAATGTTGGGTTCGAAGTTAACACTGTTCGGTTCATTCTTAAATGATCCTCTGGAGTTTATGGGCCAAATTCTGTTCTCAGTTATGCTGGCATAAATCTGGAAAAACTGCTGTGATGTTATTTAGTAACTCTGGCTTTACAGTGATGTAAGCAAGCAGAATTTGGCTTGGCTATGTACTGATCATGCAGTTCTTGCTCATCTGAGTGGTTCCACTGGGTTCAATGGAACTACTCACATAACTAAGGAGAGTAGGGTTTGTCCTCAAAAGCCCAATAAACCCCAAAACCTTTGAGATGAATTGTAAACATGGGCACTGAAAAAAAAAATCAGTTGGCATGAAATTTCAATGTAATTTGAACTATCTGTTTAAAGGAGTTAAACGTACTCTGTTTTTTATAAAGTTAAAAGAAAAAAGAGCTGTTTTTCTTCAATCTGTAGCCTTTAAAGTAACGTGTTAAAAAAAGAGAAACTTCAAACAATTCTGCAGGATGCAAGGGAAAATGGGAGCTACCCATCATGACATTTCTGATTAAAATAATAGAAAAAACAGGTGGAAGACATGCAGGTGTGTGTGGTGGGTGTTTTCATTGAAAACAACAACAACTGTTTTACGTCTACATCAGCCAATAGATCAAAGGGAGAATCAGCTGAGTGGAAAATGACTACCCCGGCAGGCACTTACGATAAAAACTTATTGGGAATCTTCGCTCACTTGCACCAGTATAAACCTGGATTCACTTCACGGAATTCAGTATGGTTTCTCTAAATTTATACTAATGTAACTGCAGTTGGAATCTGACCAGCTATCTACCTCAGAATTAGGTATCAATTTACAGCTGGCTGTTAGAAAAACATTTCTTGATTCACCCAGTAGATTTTGGGTGAATCAAGAAATGTTTTGGGCCAGATTCCCTGAAGGTGTCCTTTACACCTCCCTACACCAGCCTGTCCTCTTTGCCCCAGAGTGCGGAACCGGTTACTTGGCTGTTGGCTGCCCCACGTCTTGGTTTCAACTGAATATGGACAGCTTTAAGATTAGGCTCAAGAGACATAATATCCTCCAGTCACAGGGGGAATGCATATGTTGCACCATCTTTAGGGTGATAAAGCCCATTTCCTATAGCATACCTAGCCATCTCTCTGGATAAGTGTAGAGGGAAATGGGGCCATAGCCCTGCCTCTACATCTTTGGGGTGATTCAGGGGTGCCAGAGGGTCAAGACTCTGTATTCTCCTTGCGCATGGACTGTTATTGAGTTGGACCCAAGAACAGAGGGTACATATTAAAAAGGCTCCTTATGCCTTGGTCCTTCACCATGCATCTGTGCTAGGGCCATACACAATCTTTCCGTATCTCTATTGTTACATCCTGGTGATTGCAGATACCAACCATAGCCCTGTATCTGTATCTCTTAGCAGGAACAACACCAAATTACTCTTCCCACTGCCTGTCCATTGGACAACCCTAATCCTGAAAGTGCCTTTTTCAGAATGCAGTATTTTGGAGAAGACATAAAACAAAGATCCTGAATTCTCACTGTCATTATAGATCCATGGCACTGTTTGCAAAAGTGATGTTATTAACAGTACTGTCCAGGACAAATTCCAAATCAGGCAATTACATTCTTCCTCCCTAAACTGTAAATAAAGAAAATCCATGTGGTATTTTGTATCCTGCTGTATGAAGTGTTACTAAGAACTTGTCTTCAGTATTAAAAAACCTGCGTGTTTTACCTCTGGGTAACTAACGTGCATGAGTATCCTGAGGTAAAAACACAATGAAGTCAAAGCACTTCAGTTCTATTGCAAGGTAAATTTGCCAAGGTCCGCCCTATACCCAGGTCTGAGATTATCTGCGGCAAGTTTACCTCTTGATAAACCTAAAGTGCTGTGATTTTTACCTCTGGATAGCTCACCTCCATTAGTTAACCTGAGGTAAAAAACTGTGGGTTTTTTTTTAAAAGCAGTGAAGAAGATAGGCCCTAAGAAATCACAAGGAGTTACACATGATAAATGGAAACAGAGCCTTTTTGGATGCTAATAAAAAGTCATGCCCCTGGGTCTCTCAAAAGAACATACATGTATTTCTGCCTTCTTGCTAGAGTAGGTCTAATATCTTCCTTTAATATAGCCTTTTTGATCAAAAATGGTCAAAAAGCCATTTTCTAAAACAGAAATGTTTGTGGGAGGAAAAAATAAGTTTTTTGTCAAATTTTCTGAGGGGCGGGAGAGAAGAATTTCCTGATTAGCCAAAAATACCCTATAAAGTGCCGCTTGTTTTCAGAACTCTGGATACATAAACTTCACTCAGACTATTTTCAAGTAGTAATTTCTGGCCATGCTGGTTCAGCTATACAAATGATTTAGTTGAACAGGGGATTGGGGAGGGCAGATATCAATATCAATATCATTTTTACAGACTATACATGATAAGACTGTAAGCTGTACCTTTCATTTATTTTATCCTGAAAAAGGGGGATAGAAAGATAAACATATTAAAAATGCTTGAGTCATTTGAGTCATGTCCCAAGAAGCTGTCAGTGCACGAGAATGTTAAAGGACTACATTTTAATTTTCCTTCCTTAGATATTGTAGAAGGAATGGTCAACAAAGGAATTTACCTCACTGAACCAAAAAGAGTTACCTTTCTCATCTTTGGAAACTCCCAAAACTCTTGCATTAGTAATCCAGAAATGTGTGGACCTGAAGGTGAGTGCTTTGCCATCATTATTACTATTTGTTTTTATTATGCTGTAATCCTATCAGATGTCATGAGCTAAGTAGAGTTGGGTCATATCTGTATTTGGATGACAGATCATCTAGGATCCTCAAGATACTCTATTTTTTAAAGCCATTTTTTGCTGAAAAAACTTTGTTAAAAACAGCTCTAATTATTACACAGGGAACACAAAGTTATGAGGTGTAAGTAGTTAACACAAGGTCCTTATTTTGCAAATGGAAGTTCTCTCTAAAGTTCTAATTTCTGACTTTGCCAATTATTGAGTTAAAACAGTTTACAGCTAGATATGAAAAAAACCCACATAGATTTTTTTATTCACGCATACCAGTTTAAATTAGGAGTAATTCCACTCAAATCAATGGAATTAGACAGCATTTAACTGGTTATTGTGAGAGCAGAATCAGGCCTCCTGTGTTCCAAAACAATGTCCCTTAGCACAGAGAGAACAGAAATGATCCTGCAAGCACTGCAGCATATCAAACGGATGTGTTGTCTTGCTGGTTTCAAATTTAGGAGACTAGTGTATGAAGTCCCTTTACCAAAGGTTGCTGTTCAGATTTAGAAGGGGGCTCTTCAGCATGCTAGTGACTAAGGACTTGGTATTATAGTCATGACAGTGAAGAGGAATTTTGCATTTATCATCACCGGGTGTAGGACTGGATCCTAAAGCTGTAGTACTGAGTTATGAAATTGACTACCTGTGATTTCTACAAAGCATCAGATGTGTCATTGCTGATTTTACTTATTAGCTAGAGTGCACTCGAGAGACAGGAATGGCATGATGCACAGAAAGTGCAGGAGTGTTCCGATTCATATTGCGAGTGTCACTTGATCAGTTCATGTGGAGAAGCCAAGACTCAGGAAAGGCTGTCTTGATTTACTTCTTGTTAGTGACTTGCAAAGGCTAGGAGACTGGCAGATAAATGTCCTTGGAGCGTTAGGGACTGTTCTCTGAAATAGGTCTAAAAACATGGTTTCCTTCCACCACTCTCACTTTTGTCGTTTTGCCAGACCTAAAAAACCCAAACAAACACAAGGATTTTGCCTCCCCAGATGTTTTTTAGAATTAACTTGTGTATTTTTAAAAGCCTCTTTGTGAATCCTCCTAAATGCCAACAAAGGCTGTGTTAGATCTCACAAGCTATGAGCTGGATGTGGCCAGCTGGAATATGTCCAAGACGCTGCAGATACTGGTGCTAGCAATTAAAAAAGGTGGTATTCTTCCCTCTGAATAAGAGTCAAATCAATATCCCAACAGGACATTGCATGAGAGCTGGGTGAAATTTTTTGGACAAAACTTTTTTTTGGAGAAAAATGCAGATTTGGCAACACAAATTTTGTGATTTTTGTGTCCGTTTTGCCAAATTGTTTGTGGCAAAAAGGGGGGTGGAAGAGAGGAATCCTGTGAAGGCAAAGCGTTACATTTTGAAATTTTTAGAAATGACTTTTTTGTTTTGAGATTTCATTTGACAGGAAACTAATATTTTTCTGACTCTAAGTTCACCTGAAATTTCAAAAAAAATTTCAATTCAATTTGTCCCAAACCAATTTTTTCCCCTGATTGATTTTTTTTTTTGAACTGCCAATGAACCAAAAAATCAGTTATTCACAGAGATCTGTATAGCACTGCTGCAGATGACTTTTTTAGGATGAGATGTAAAAACAAGGTCATATCCACTAATGATCCCAAAACACTTTTCAAAAGAATAAGGGTGTCCGTTAATAGGGACTCAAAGCGGTTAAGGGCAGGATAGCTTATACCAATTGCCAGTATGTTTAATTTATCTTCCTATCTAAAGTTCCCTTTTGGCCGCTTTCAGTGGATTTTCTTTTGTTTCTTGGCCCTATACAGTTGTGTTGTGTTGCTGGTGCTGCTAATGTGTACCGTTAGTCAATGGGAACTATTAACGGATTTCTGTGGGTGCAGAATAGGACCGCTAAATCTCACCCTGAACCTGGGATTTTGCTGGCAGGGGAAGTGAAGTTATCCCTGTAAGATATGTACCCAGGGCCCAATTCTGCACTTGGTTACACTGATGTAAATCCCCCTGAGCCAAACAGGCCACTGCAGTTGCCCGGAGCTGGGAAAGCTGGGTGAAATTCAATGGCCTGTGTTATACAGGTTAGTCCTAGATGATTAATGGTCCCTTCTGGCCTTAAAACCTGTGAGTCTCTGAATAAAGGGTTGTAAATAATATTTGTTGAGAATGTTGGCATTTTTTCCATGAGCAATTATCTCTGGATAAATAGTTTTATTATCCAGAGCACCTCCACAGAAGTCTATGACATTACTTTGGTTTTACACTGCGTAAATGAGAGCAGAAGGTGGCCCATTGCTTGTAATCCCATAATGTGATCTGAGGTTTGTGCAAGGCCCTCTATTAAATGAACAAACAATAGTGACGCAAAGTAAACCAAAGCCAGGTTGAAACTTTGGGCCTGCTATGTTTGAGAGGCCCCTTATTTTTGCATTTCAGGGTAGTTCTGACCTCCCCTGTGTCCCCACCGAATACTGTGAATACCCCATCTTAAACTCTTGCGCTTCGATAAAAAGATGGACAACACAATTCCACATGGCATCCTTAACTTGGTGCCGGTTATTGTGGGTTAGTCTCCATCCCCGGAATAACTAATAAAAATACCTCATAGGTTTAAAAGGGAAGAATTTACCCAAGGCAGCCTTGCCTAAAATCATGCAGCCTAGGTTTGGAGTCAAATGATTTTTTTTTTATATATGTGTGTACAATATGCAAGATCAACTTCCATGGCTCATAGACACTGGAGAGGCTGCTACAGGCTTTGCTGTAGCTGCAAGCCATCAGCATTCTCAACCTCTTCCCCCTGCCTCTCCCCCCGCTGTGATATAACATTTAATTTTTTCTTTTGTATTTTGTTACTGGATTCAAAAAACTGTCAACAGACAGCTAAAATATTTGCCAGATGTGTTATAGGGTTGGTTACACCAAGTGGGGTGTGGTTTAAATAAATACTACACAGACTGGGGGCCCAATCCAGGAGTTTTTACTCAGGCTAAACTGTGCTCTCTGCTTCCTTATCTCACTATCCACTGCTCCCTATGCCATGCTCCCTTCCTCTTATCTTTAGCAACACCTTTGTTTTCCTCATCTCTCCTCCCTTCTGCTTATTTTTCTCCCACAAATCCTATCTCTTCCTTTCCTCCCACCATATCACCGACCCCTTTTCTCTTAACTCTCCTCCAGTCCTCCTCCCCCCCCGCTCCCTGCACCCTCCAAATACTATCATTGGCAACTCCCATCACCCCCCCGCCCACCAAATCAGGAAAATTCAGGAGGATGCTAAAGGGGACGATTTCTCAGTAAGCTTTTTTCTCACTGATATTTCCCTGCATTCATTCCATCAGGTGCAGAGGGGATTGATTACTCCCCACAAAACAGGCTTCAGGCTTGCCCTCAGACCAGATGGATCTCCAAGGATCTGCTTGGATCCCAGGGAATCAAGAGGGGGGGCCAGGGACATTGTTCAAAGTTTCTCATGCCTCTCTGAGAATTCTGGGTGACCAGACACCCTTCCCTACAATGGGGTGGGGGGAAATCTGTATGCAGCGCGCTTTCTCCATGCATGGGTCTAGGGGATATGATTCAGCCCGTAAATTATAAATACAGGGGAGAAAAAAAGATACAGAACCATTAGGATGGTGCCTAAATAACCAAAGGAAACCACATGATCTTTTGTGGTAGCCCTTGCCCCTCCTCTCTATCCTCCCTATTTCTGTTGTTTTAATTAGTAATGTTGGATGGGATATTCAGAAGCACTTGTCATTTGGAATGTAGACATGCCCTGGGAGCAGGGTTAAGCCAGTGCTGAGCACTCTTGAAAATCCCTCCCATTATTTCTATTCCGAGGGACAGATCCTAAACATAGTTTATTCATGTAGTAAGTACTATATGGCTGGTAATCTGATGGAAGTACTTTGGTAGTAAGTGTTTGTAGGAGCAGGCATTGGCTTTTAGTTTGCAAGCTCTTCAGGGCACAGGATGGTTTTTTATTGGTCTGTAAAGCACCTAGCATGCTTTGGGTCCAGCAGTGTTGCCAACTTGCATGATTTTTACCATGAGTCTTGCAATACTGGATGCTTTTCTTAAAGCCTGAGCTGCTGGAGTTGTGTGAATACAGTACATCAGAATCTCATATTTCATTATTTAAAAAAAAGTTCTAGCCTTTGAGGTTGAAGAGAAAAGCTTGAAAATGAGACTCCTAAAGGGTGAAACACTAGAAGGCAAATGAAAGAACCTCAAACTTTATTTTAACAAGTCTCTTGATTTTTTTTTTTTTTTGAGGGTCTGGTCCTTATGACTTTTGAGTACCTGTGGCTGGCAATACTACCCATATCCTTTAAATCTACAGCATGCAAAGGCTTTATAAAAGTTGCAATACATTTCAGTGCTTCCTGAACATTAATTAAAAAAATACGCTTTGGAAAAATTATAAACTACAACACATGGTGGTTTTCATCTTTCGGTTGTTTTCACCCGTCTGTCCATCTATTGTTTGACTGTCTCCCCTAAGCAATTTTTTCCACTGAGAATATTTTAGAGCCCTCACAGTATGCTGATGCTGTAGAAGATTAAAATGACAAATAAAATTATGGTGCAAGTCACAAATTATCTGGTGCAATCAAGGTAATGATTTAGAGGAAAAGATTGAAAATGTTACATGAATGAACAAAACAACTGTAAGATTGATGAAAAATGCATTGAAACTGTAGGGATCAATGTGGAATGGTGCATGTGATTTTTACATGGTGTAACTTCTGCAATACCTAAACTTAATGGGTAAGTTAAGTGGCAGTGTTAATACTGGATTTAGTTGCTTTGTTAATTTAGGCCATTCTTAAGTTACTGACAAGACATATGACAAGATTTTATTCATTCTGGCATGTATAGCAAATACTGTGTGTTACCACTTTTAAAAAACGGTAAAAATTCAT